CTTACGGCCACCAGGGGGAAGTAGACACCAGGAGAAGGATGGCCTGCCCAGGACTGATGCCAGGTAGCAGCTTCTCCCTCTCTCCCTTCTTGTCCCAGTCTCAGTGCCAATCAGCTTTGAAGATCCAGGTTCCTTCCCTAAGTTAGGGTCCCCAAATGTGGCCCCAGTCAGCCTCACCTTCGCAGAGGATGTGTTAAGGAACCTAGAATCTCTCCACCTTGTGTCAGATGAAGCAGGAACTCCAAGCACGGAACACAACCTCTTTTCCCAGGCTACCCATGAGTGGGTGGGTGGGGTCAGAAGGCTGAGAACCCAGGGGCAGCGCATACTAACAGCATGGCAAGGTCTGTGTTCCTTCTCCAGTGTATACTAAACAACAAGTAAGTCCTGGAGAGCCAGTACTCCAGACAAAGGGGAAACCTTTGTTTAGTTAAGGAAACAAACAGGAGAGCTTGGATGATAGAGCATTTGTCAAGCACCCTGGATTTTGTCAAGCACTACATGTAACAGTGTTGTCAACTTGACACAACCTAGAGTCACCTGGAGAGGGAGTCTCGATAAGGGCTTGTCTACATTGGGTTGACCTGAGAGCTTATCTGTGGGGTGATTATTTTGTAAGACCAGCCTAGTGTGGGTAGCATCATTTCCTGGGCAGGCATTTCTGAAGTGTTGAAGAGTGGAGAAATCAGTTGAGTACAAGCATGCGAGCAAGCGAGCAAGCAAGCAAGCGAGCACGGATTTATTCATTCTCTCCCTGTTCTTGACTTTGGATGTGGCTAGCCACTTCAGGCACCTGTCACTGTGACATCTTCTCTATGGTGGGCTGTAATCTGGAAGTGTGAGTTGAAAAAACTCTTTCCCCTCTAAATTGTTTTTTGCCAAGGTGGGATTTTGTTTGTTTGTTTTTACTTTATTATCTTGTGTGTGGGCATTTTGGCTGTGTGTATATCTGCACCACATGCATGCAGTACACCAGAGGCCAAAAGAGTGTGTTGGATTCTCTGGAACAGAAGTTACGGATGGTTGTGAACCACTATGTGGGAGCTGGGACCAGGTCCTTTGCAAGAACAAATGCTTTTCACTGTGGAGCCTAGACGCATATTCGGGTGAAAGCCTGGAGTTCTAGCATTTGGGAGCTGGAAATAAGAGGGTCAGGCATTCTAAACCATCCTTAGGCTTCACAGCAAGTTTTGGGCCAGCCTGGGATGTATGAGACCCCATCTCATAAAAACAAAAAGGAAGGAAAAACAAATAAATACTTTGTTTTGGGCACCACGGACTATTGCAAGTATTCAAACTTGTTTTTGTAGGATGGAACTGCATCTATATAATATACTATCACCCTTTGGATCCACAAGTTCTGCATTCATGATTCATCCAAGTGGAGATGGAAAATGCACAGAGAAAAAGTCGCATCTGGTCTGAACATGTGGGAACACCATCATCGCTCACCAAACAGCCCAGCATAGCTGCTTTCGCTGCGTTTACATTGTGTTTGGTCTGACAAGTCTAGAGATGAGCCACATACACAGGGGGCTCACGCAACTCCTATGCAGACATTGTGCCTTTCTCTGTAAGGGACGTGAGCATCTGTGAATTTTTGAGATCCCTAAGAGAGTTCTGGAACCCATCTCTGGGAGACTAAGGGATGACTATATATACACAAATGATGGTTAAATTCAGACATGTTTGTATGAGCATATGTGTATGCTGTACATGAATGTGTGTGTGTGTTTGCATGTGTTTGCACATGAGTGTGAGAGAGCCCATGTGTGTGTGGGTATGCATGCATGTGTATGGAGGTCAGAGACTAATGTCCAGACACCCTTTCTTGGTCACTTCTCCACCTTATATGTTAAGACAGGGTCTCGTTGAACCAAGAGCTTGCCAATTTGGCTAGTCTAGCTTGCCAGCTTTTCTATAGAGATCATTTGTCTCTGCCTCTGGAATGCTGAGATTATAGATGGGCCATTTTAAATTTAATAT